CACACACACACACACACACACACACACACACACAGGGACTCACTTTCCCTCGAGGACACACCAGCCACAGTACGGATCCTTCATGGAGACGCAGGACTCGCAGTCCGTCTTCAGGTGGCAGGCCTGGACGGGAACCTTGGTGATCTGCAAATACGTGACTCAAGCTTTTATTGTGAAGGAGAACCGAATAACAAAAAGAAGAATGCTTATACAACACCAATTTAAAACCTCCGCTCTATTTTAGTTTACGTTTTGTTTTTTTTAAACATGTTGAATTATTTACCAGCAGCTATCAGTGAAAACATCACTTTGGAAATGAAGAACGTTCCAGGAAAGTTCCGCAGCCTCTTTTTCTACGACTTCAAGGAGGATTTTTCGACTTCTTTTCTCGAGGTGGAGTCAGAAATAATGACATCTGCAGGAAGTCAATATATCTTTCTTTGCGTTGAGATTTGACTCGACTGACAGCACACGGGAGACTTGTGCTTTAAATATCATTTTTCTCTTGAAGAAAGAAATGCGTGACGGAAACATTTGGGAGCTTTTTGGTTTGTTCTTTCCGTTCCGATGAGTAGAACCCCGAGATACGTGATGCATTTCAATGTTAAAGACATAAGAGCTGTACGGAGTCCTACGCCGTGTTACGCCTGTCCATCGTCCCTCCATGTGTCCTGCAGAGGGAAGGTCGTGGACGGACGTCCTTTCATTTAAAAGCCCGACAGGAAGAAGGACTCATTTGAATGAGCCGATGGCGCCGGGCCGAGTGTCCTCACTTCACTTGACGAAAGAGAGCCGGCCTCTTCAAGCGCGTTTCTAATTAATTCATTTCAAAATCAATAACATCAATTTCACTTTTGGTGTGGCGGCGGGAGAAGGATGGCGAGTGAATAAATCAATAGCCGTCTTGTGCGTGCTAATGTAGACGGATGCATTGGTGCGACCACAACGAACGAATAAATGATCCAATGAGACGGCAGAGAGAATAAATTAAAGTCTCATCGAGCCCCGCCCCCCCCGATGACGCCCCGTGACCTTGGCCGAGGTGAGAGAAGTGGATTTGGTAGAACGAGGAGTCTGACCTTCTTCTCCGTGGTGACGTACAGGTGCTGCAGGCGGGGATCGAACAGCAGGTTCTTGTTGACCTTTTCTCCCGTGACGTCGCCCTGCGCCTGCCCGTACACCTCCGCGTGGCCCGACAGGTGCACCTTCAAGACCTGCACAGAGCACGAGGTAACCAGGCGGCTTTCACCAGAACTGCCGACAGACCAGAAGAAGAGGAGGAAAAACCAGCGTCCGCCTCTACCTCTCCGTTGGCGGTGCCCAGGAACGCCACCGCGTGCCCGTTCTCCACCGCCACGGCCACGGCGGTCATGTGGCCCTCGCGGGCCAACAGGGGCTCGGCGGTGAGGGCGAACTCGGCCTTGCTGGCCAGCGGCGAGGGCAGGTACTCGGCTCCACACCTGTTGTTGATGGCCATGTTGTTCTGGCGGAGGAGAAATCAGCGTGTTCATTCATGTCGGACGTTAATCGCACGTTGAATTGTTTCAGCGCGCCGCCGCTCACGGGGTTCTTGTTCTTGCACAGCTCCTCGGACTTGGAGGAGTACGGCGAGTAGACGGCGGACTTCTCGTCGATGTTGCCCTCGTCGCTGTAACAGGCTTTTATGATCCTCACCAGCCTCTCGTTGATGGAGACGAGAGGGTACATGCCTGCCAACAGGAGGAAAGCAACGTTTGTACCCGTTTCATGCAGCTTTTTATCAGAACAACCACTGATTTTGACACGTGGTAACTACGTATATCCTTTAAATACTAGAGGCATGTATTATAATGAATTATGCTAAATTAAAAGACAAACTGATGCTGATCACACGTGCATGAAACTGCTAAACTAATGAAGAAAACAGAAAACAATCTGACAGTGAAGATCATGTGACCGACAGGACGACACCTACACAGGGCTGACGTGGACGGGTCTTCATCAGAAGTGAAGGTGACGAAGAGCACCTTGTCGGAGGCCGACACCGATCCGTACCGGCCCGACTCGGTCATGTTCCGAGCCAGAACCTCGCCCGGCGTCGCCACGTAGGCGGCCTGCGCAGGTGAAGGAGTGAATGTTAGGTTATCCACTCGAAACGCGCGCAGTGTGGAGACCTGCACACCTCGGCTTCAGCAGCTTTTCAAATCCAATTTACAACGCTTATCAGCGGTCAGAGCTGAGGGCTTCTCAAGCCGAGTGAAGACAAACTCATTCAAACGTAAAATGCCCAAACGTGCCCCCCCTCCCCCCCCCCTTTGACAGCCTGCAGCAGGAGCCCCCCCCCGCCCATCACCTGAGCTTTGTTGTACTTGTTGGTGCTGCTGCAGTTGAGCTGCAGCTCCGTGTACGAGTAGTAACCCTGGTCGTCCTCGCACATCCTGGACACGAAGGTGAAGTTCTTGGTGTCCTGGACGCCGAGCGTCCGCGAGAACAGAAAGTACACGAAGCCGCCGTCCTTGAAGGCGAAGCGGAAGTCGTGGAGGTAGCGCAGGACGAAGGGGTTGGCCTGCACCGCCGAGGCCTCGATGATGCTGTCGAACACCACCCAGTCGCCGTAGTCCTGGAGGATGCGGGTGGAGATGAGCTTGGTGCTGTCGTGGCTGCCGTAGCCTTTGCCGACCTGCGTTGGGGGGTTGGGAGGAGGACGGGGGGGCATTAGCTCACGACATATATTTTACCAATTTAAACACAAGAGCTTCGAGAAGCTCAAACTCAAGGCGCCAATAGCACAGTTATAGATCTGAGACTCGATGGAGACCTTCGACTAGTCCCTGAAGAAGGTTTCAACCATCAATCATCAGGTCTCAACTTCTCAGAAGCGGAATGGAAAAGGCTGCAGCTACTTGGCTGTTGTTGGGTGAGAACCTTCTGGAGGACCATGATGTCCTCCTCCCTCCCGCCTCAGCCCCCCGCAAACAGAGACAATTACACATCGACTGATTAGATTAGAAACGCCGCGGACGTGACGCCATGAAGACTCCGCCCATACGTGAGAAGAAACAACAGCTGCTGAACACGTCCCGATAACAGACGACGGCGCTCACCAGGAAGACGGTGAAGTTCTTGGTGTCCTTGGTGAAGTAGGACGTCACCCCCACCACGGAGACGCCCTCCTCGGCGGTCGCCACGTACGACTTCTCCCCTTTGCTGTCGCTGAAGTACAGCAGCTGCTCGGCGGCGCTCAGGTTCCTCAGCGAGCAGATGCCCCGGAAGACGCTGCCGCAGACCACCAGCACGTCCGTGGCCTCCTGCACCAGCAGCAGCTTGTTGTGGTTGTCGGTGTCCACGGCCTCCTCGCAGGCGTCCGTGACGGGCGGCGTGCACTGCTTGTTGTCCCTCTTGGGGCCCGTCTCCGTGCGGGACTCCACCTGCAGGTCGGCGCTCAGCTGGTAGAGGCGGTTGACGGCGCCCACGTACAGGCGGCCCGAGCGGGGGTCCGTCACCACGTTGTTGATCAGCGTGTCGGAGGGGAACTCTTTGTTCTTAGCGTGGCAGGGGACCGCGCAAGCGGTTGCCAGGGCGACGAGGGCCAGCTGCCACGCCCACTCCATCGTGTCTGGAGGCGGGAAAACAAGATGAGAGACATTTTCAAGCGTGTGGGGAGGAAGAAACGGGTTAAAAAGTGCGGAGAGACAAAGGCAGGAAGTGTGTGTGTGTGTGATTGAACAGAGACTGTAATTAGTTGTGTGACATTGTGAGTTTCTCCTTCCATTAGTCAGGGTGCGTTTGATTACAGCCGAGGCGTCACTGCACCGCCGTTAACGGGGTATTTTTGGTCGATTCTCATAAACTTGATGAAGTATTTTAAATATTACTGAGTGAATAGTAAAAATGTAATCGCGGCGGCCTTCTGCCGGGTAAATGAAAGCGCTCAGAGTCGCATCGTGGTCGTTTATTTCACGAGCATATTTTACCGGCCTATTAGATCGCTCTGATTGGTGGACGACCCCCCCCCCACTTCCCCCAAATGGAAGAGTCTTCAGCTCGCTTCATTGCAGAAAGGATCTACTGGCGTGAAGACTAATCTCTGCACCACCTGCCGGCCCCGATTGCCGAGCCTCAGATATCAGGAGTCGGGTGGTCCCCTTTTATTTAACGAGCGTCACTGACTGAGCAGATTATAATTTACAACGACTGCGTCTCTCAGTGCTCTGCAGACAAAGTTACACCAGCAGCGTAGTCCGACTTAACAGGAAAATTAATTCATGATCCGGTCTCTGTGGCCCCCCTTGGGTTCTAGTGTCATCTTCCTCCTCCTCCTCCTCCTCCTCCTTCACTTGGAGACTCTCGGAGGTGGAAATCTGTGGCATCTCACTTCTTCTCTCGGCTTTCGCTTCTCTTTGTTTTACTTGTTTGCCTTCATCCTCCTTAAAGTCAGACTCTGTATCAACCCACGAATAAGATGTGTGTGTGTGTGTGTGTGTGTGTGTGTTCTTCTATTCTCGTTTGGCTTCAAGATTTTTCACTTGGAAGATGCCATTTCCGCTCTTTTTTAGCTCCATCTTTGGTCTCCACCACCATCAACATCAGGAGGGTGTTGGTTGAGTTGGTGGTTCGGCATGTTTTGGTTTAACAGAATGTTGTTCAGTCTGCTTCAATGTGGCGTTACAACTCAAAGTGTGTGTGAGATTAACATTGGGCAGAAACACACACACACACACCACACCACACACCACAGGAGGGGAACAGCAATCTGTGACTCAATGAGATTCAGAAGTGCCCAGTTCTAAAAAACCTCTCGCTGACCCGCTGTTTAGAAACGTTTTGTAGGGAAAACTGAAGACAGGAATGGTCTGCTGGAGGCAGAGGGAATAAACCGAATTCTCTGTCCGCCGTCCAAGCTTTTCTCATTTCAAACTTCACATCGCTCCCTTCCCTCCTCTCCTGGGTCCTCACATCCTCCCCCTCAGGAACGAGTTCAAACTAAATAGTGGGTTTATGACACTGGACATCCCCAGAGACTATCCAGAGACTATCCAGAGACTATCCAGAGACCATCCAGAGACTACCCAGACACCATCCAGAGCACACCAGAGACTACCCAGAGACCATCCAGAGACTATCCGGAGACCATCCAGAGACTACCCAGAGACCACCCAGAGACCACCAGAGACCATCCAGAGACCACCCAGAGACCACCCAGAGACTACCCAGAGACTACCCAGAGACTACCCAGAGACTACCCAGAGACTACCCAGAGACTACCCAGAGACCACCCAGAGACCACCCAGAGACCATCCAGAGACCACCACTGTCTGTCTGCTGAACCCGTCTGTCTGTCTGTCTGAGATCTGTCTGATTGCTAAACCCGTCTGTCTGTCTGACGTCTGTCTGTCTGCTGAACCCAACTGTCTGTCTGTCTGTCTGACGTCTGTCTGTCTGCTGAACCCGTCTGTCTGTCTGACGTCTGTCTGTCTGTCTGTCTGACGTCTGTCTGTCTGTCTGTCTGTCTGCTGAACCCGTCTGTCTGTCTGACGTCTGTCTGTCTGCTGAGTCTGTCCAAGTAGGAAGTCTTTGAATACACGACAGATACTCCAGAAACTCTTATATTGTGTTTTTCAATCATATGTTATCATGTCTTGTCTCGTCTTCTCCACCTCTTCCTTCCGTCTGCCACATCTCACACATCTAGACTGAACTGATAAGACGCTCGTCTTTTGATTTCTTGTTCTTTATTTTCTGGCTCCAAACTTCTGACTTGATGTTTGTGGCTCTCAGAGTTCGGAAAGCCTTGATTTCCATTCATCGCACCACCGGGCGCCATCCGCCACTCACGACATCGGGCCGGAAGGAGCGCGGCGGCTGATTGGCCGAGCCTGCGGGGAAATATAGAGTTCTTATTGGTGGCAATGAAGAGGCCTGAGAGGAGGATGGCGCGCACGCACACACATGGTTACACCTCCATCTAGAACCACGGCCCAATTGGAAGAAAAGGAGGTTGGTGCCTCTAAATTGGCGGAACCAGGAAGCGGTTTCGTTTGGACCCGAGAGGATTCATATTGTTACGCCACTAAGCCTGTGTTGGTGCACATTATGACCCAGTGAGGAGAGGATTAGTCTAATGACGGCACTCACTACACACACACAGACACACACTGTGTGTTGTCTGCAGTACCACCGGGTGACATCTCAGCAGGGACCAACAAAAGGCCGACTGTGCGGACAAAGACACAATCTAGCGCAAACAACGTATGAATCAGAAGCAGCATTGAATAAACAGCCCTCAGAGACCCTGTGAGAGCAGAAATCGTCCGATTAGTTTTATTTTTGTTGGAGGGACTCTGCCGGTGCGTTCAAGGACACCAAAACCGTCGAAAAGGAATTGACAACAACGAGAAGTTTGACCAAAGTGAACGCGAGGAAATGTCCCTTGTGATTACCAACCTGAAATGAGGTGAAATCTGCCCTCTGCCTGCAAGGAAGGAAACCAATCTCCTTAAACAAATATCGCTCTTCATTAATGCACAACAGTCCTGCTGCTGCGCTGAAGTAAAGACGATCCCATTTCATGCCGCTGATTAAGTCGGTCTTATGCAAATGTAATTTCGCGTGGCGTCCTCTGCGAGCGCTTTCTCTCCCGCTTCAGAGCTCCCGGGTTAAAGGAGCCGGTTGGCGAGGACTCGTCCTCTGGAGAATCCCGCTGCATGGACACAGGTACCGTCATGCAACATGGGGGGGCTTCATTAATTCCTTTGACAAATGCCATTATAATGACATATTAACATACAGTTACTATGCGCTCATCACAGTGTGTGTTTTTTCCAACGGTCACCCGCGATGATGTGGAAAGTTAAAAGTTATTTTGCTTCCCGACGTCCACCACCTGGAGTTATAAATGAGTGTGGGATTTTAAAACGACCATTTTCCTCTTTGAGGCGACGCTGTGCTCGTTACCCAAAGTCACCCCGTCAGGACTTAATTAACCGTGGGATGAAAATACCTCGTTAATAGCCTAAACGCAAATAAAAATAATCGCTTTACATCATCTTTTTGAAGACAACCTGGAAGTACTTTGGATTATAAATCACTCCGGGCCGCAGATTAAATGTGGATGAATTAAGAAGGAAAACAAACAAAGTTGAACGTTGAGTCATCGTGGACACGATCCAGCAGATCCGCAGCGTCACTGCGATTATCGAACCTCCAGAGAGACGCAGAGGACTTCAGGAGAGACGCTCTGCTGTGTGTTCATGCTCACGCACGTGAGCCTCAACGTGCATTATTCAAAAAGTTAAAAAGTTAACGTTGTCCCGGTCGTCTTGAACTGCACAGCCAACCTTTACCCACATACTCATACATAACCAGGGGGGGGTCCCTCTGGCTCTCAATTAACAACAAAGCGGCTGTGATTCAGCAGCGTGTGTGTGTGTGTGTGTGTGTGTGTGTGTGTGTGCGTCTGTGTGTGTGTGTGTGTGTGTGTGAGAAA